TTCACAAACGGCTTAGCCTTGAGCCAAAGACAGCCAGCTCAGCCGTGGCTGGACTCCTGACCCACAGAAACTGTGTGATAATAAATATTTTAAGCCTCTGGGTTTGCAGATAATTTGTTTCCAACAATAGATAACAAATTCAGGGACAAAAGAGAACTGTGGACCCAAAACAAGCTTGGCCATTTTCACCATTATTTTGCCTCAGACTGGAGTTGGTCTATTTCCTCAAAAATACGCTCAGTGTTAAAATGCACACTAGCTGTATGGCTTTTGCTTTTAAATCATTTTATTTTTATATTCTTGCAACTGCCCATAGTGTATAATAATGACTGCAGCCACTGCAGGGTGCTACGTCTATGGGCCCTCCACATCTTCTCGTGAGCTGACTGCAGGTCCCCTGCTGCCCTTGGGAGCCCACAGGCCAGCATCAACTGTTCACTTACTACCCAGAGGGCCAGCACCACTTCCAGCACAGGGACATGTGCCAGGTGCGCCTGCAGGGCAGGTGACCCAGTGCTTGTCCATGTCACAAGTTGGCCAGATGTCTCGGGCACAAGATCTGTGAGCTCATCACGAACTTTGAGCTCACAGACAACCATCTTCTAGGAAACATGCTTCTGAGATCTGGCGATGGTGGGGTGGGGATGGAAAGGCAGACTGGGGTTGTGTGCAAGCTGGCAGCGAAGTCTAGCTCACATCAGTTTACTACTGGGAAGAAATCTAAATTCTTTTTTTTTTTAAGATTTATTTTTTATTTATACAATAGCTGGGGTACAGGCCAGAGGCACAGGAGGGTGAGAGGATTCACCAGAGACACAGTGGGGGGCAGAACAGGCAGACAGACCAAAAGCACTGCTGAGGGGAGCAGTGGGAGAGACAGGCGAGGTTTGCCACGCCATGTGGGGATCTCCCTGGCCAGCGGGGAATCTCCCTGGCCTGCAGAGGCTGTGGACAGCTTCACAGCGCTGTGTTCAACCCACTGCGCCACTGGGGAGGCCTGAAATTTAAATTCTTGCTCAGAGCAAACAAGTACTTCAGTGGCCTACATGTTTGGTGCCTTGGGTTTTCCCTGGGTAAACTGCAAACAGATGAACAGTCTTTGGGAGATCTTGTCTTTCCTTCTAGCACCCTTTACTCCCCCCCACAAACTATCTCACCTGGTACCTAGTGTCCGGTCCTGCTTCCCAGGCTTCTAGAACCTCTTCCTTCCTTCTCCACATGCAACACTCCTCCAGGCCCCGGCCCGGCCAAGCACCATTTTTATCTGCCTCCCCAATATATCAATGTACCGACCCATGAGATAAATAGCTGTGTTCTGTGAGTGTCCATGACTCCTCTAATGTAGTTATTTCCTTAACTTTAGTGTGTCACAGACAGGATAATGTCCAAAAAAGAGACGATCTAACATAAGGCTGTAACTTATTTTGTTAATACATTTAGGAAGAAAAACATCCCTGGTGACAGTCCTCGATAAGAAGCAATGACATGTTAATATCAAAGGAAAACACAGGAGTATTCTTTTAGCATCTCTGTTAGAAGGAATGTTCTTTCCATTTAAAAAGGAGGCATACATAACATATATAAGGGGTGTGTGTGTGTGTGTGTGTGTGTGTGTTTGTGTGTATAAAATAAAGGACCGTTTTCTAAGTGAAATAAATATTATGAAAAATGAAGTGTAACACTCTCTCATTCCTCTCTCTCCCCCCTCATTTTTTTTTAAAGATTTATTTATGCATAAAAGAAGTAGGGTACAGGCCAGAGGCATGGGAGGTGGGGTGAAAGTATTCACCAGAGACAGAGTGGGAAACAGAACAGGCAGATTGACTGAAATACACTGCTGAGGGGAGCAGTGGGCAAGTCTGGAGAAGTCTGCTGTGCCATGTGGGTTGTTCCCTGCCCGGGGATCAAACTCATGCTGCAGTGGCTGCGGACAGCTTCATAGGTTGTGTCTTTACCCCTTGTGCTACCAGGGAGGCCCTCTCTCCCATCATCGGTATGCATTCTTGGTTTAGGATCTGGAAAAACTTTTCTCAAGGCTGATTAGGGTTGGAAATTCATGCTAAATAAAACCTAGCTCTGTGTCACACTTCTCTGATAACATGGGTTAAGTCCACAAAGATATGTCTGTCTTAAAAAGACCCTTAAAAAATAAATGTAGTGGGGCCTCCCCGGTGGCACAGCAGTTGAGCGCTGGGTTGCGAAGCTGCCCGCAGCCTCTGCAGCGTGGGGATGCTCCCCGGCCACTGGAAGAGGGTCCCACATGGCACGCAGACCTCTCCTGCCGCCCGCTGCTCCCCTCAGCAGTGTACTTCGGTCCTTCTGCCTGCTCTGCTCCCCGCTCTGGCTCTGGTGAATTCTCTCACCCTCCCGCGCTTCTGACTGTACCCAGTGCTTGTATGAATGAATGAATGAATGAATAAATAAATAAATCTTTAAATAAATAAATAAAACTAGTGATGGAAATTATGACAGTCATGAGCAAGTTTGGTCTTTCTGTAAATTCCTGGAAACAAACACATTTCTTGTAGTGAATTTGAAGGAAAACTCAGCTCTAATGCAGGGACACCAGAATTCTCTGGCTTCAAACCACAACCTGAAATGTGTATGTTGGGCGACTGACTTGGTCTTCGGTTCAAGGAAGCTCTTGAAACTGAGCCAGTTTTTCATGTTTTCAAATAAAGATCACCAGCCACCTGCCAGCTATGACCAAAGTCACTAGGAATGAATTCTCCTTGAGGTATTGATTCAAACTGAAACTCTGACATGGGAAATGCTAAAGGAAGGACTAGAGGTTACGCTGATGTAAACCCCAAAACATTATGAATGGTGGGAAGGCTGCCAGTTTGCTTCCCACACTGCAGTGGTCTGGCAGCTTTACATCTTGGTGTCTGTCTCAGAGGTGACCTTGAGAATTGTGCCCAGAAGTGGGATTTCTCACATTGACTTCCTTTCAGTGCCCCCTGGTGGAAACCCACTTCCATACAGAGCCACAGCAGGTGGGAGGAATGTGATCAGTCTCGAATGGGTGAGAGGGGGGAGCTTTCCCCAGAAAGAAAACAAAAGTCAAATAAAATGAGAGCGGGTTCCTAAAGGTCACAGAGATTATGTGGGGATGTGATGTCCTTTTCCTGATTCGCTGGTGCAAGACATGTAATTTAAAATATTTGCTGGGGAATAAGAAGCAGAGGAAAAGAACAGTGAAGTGTAAGCTGGGGAAAGAAGCTCCATTTCCTTCCTGTGATAATCCTCAGCCTTGAATATATCCTTCCAGTGGGCAAATAGTCATTTCCCATCTCTGGGGCCTTTCAGTCTCTCTAGTAAAGGCCTTTGATATGGATGAATTTCTGCCTAGCTCAAGAGTTTTCCAAAGGCAGAAAAGAGCTTTCTTTGCAGGTTAAGCTGCAAAAACTTGAGGCAAACAATGGCTTCTGTAATTGCAGTGTACTTGTGAAGATGGCTCTTCATTTGCTCACTCACCAGGGACACCTGTGTCGTGGGCCTGATAGATAAGCTTCAGTCAGAAGTTGGCTTGCAAAGAGAATTTTATTCCTGTATTGGCCACACACACACTTAGGTTCATACAAGCAAGCCAACCCCAAGTTCCCAAAGTACCTTTGACTGAAGACAGTAGCTGCAAATGTGTCTTAGCCAGGCCTTCCACCTAGGTGGAAGACCTTAGGCCGTGGAAGTCTCTGGGCTTTAGGGCCCACAGTGTGGATGGTCTCACAGGGTGTTGAGCTGATAGGCAGCTTGTGCCGCTGTTGGGGAGCAGGCCTCCGGGTCTGGGGGAGCAGAGCCGGGAACTGACCTGCAGTTCCCGGTGTGCCAAACCGGGGAGCAGGAGCAACGAGCAGGGCAAGGAGAGATTTCGGCTGGAGGGTGAGTCTGAGTCCAAAGGGAGGGAGTGAGCTGGACTCCTGAAGAGCAGCCTCCAGCAAGTCCTTTGCTCTGAGCCAGTTGTTAGGCCTGCTCTGAGTCTGCTGCAGGTAGCCGTTCCTTTTATATCTTTTTTATCAGCTTAGGCTCAGGCACCATCTGCTTTATCAGCTTTAACACTCAGTATATGGCCTCAGTTACTTTCATTCATAGTGCTTGCAGGCACCTTAATATTTTCAATTTTACTTGTAAGCTTTATATGTCTGTTACAACCTGTGATGCTGTAAATATCAATAGAAAATGACTATGAGTCTCACACTCACTGATGTCTGCTTTGGAATGAATGAATACTTCATTCTATACAGAAAGACGCCCAGTGTCCTGGAGAGTCATGCCAAAACAAGGGAACACCAGGGAGCTGGTTGGCTTTTTTAATTTTTTTAAGATTTATTTATTTATGCACCCAAGAACTGGGGTGCAAGCCAGTGATGGGGGGGGGTGCGGTGAGAGGATTCACCAGAGACCGAGTGGGGTACAGAACAGGCAGATGGACTGAAATAACACTGCTGAGAGGAGTAGGGGTGAGTCAGGAGAGGTCTGCCGTGCCATGTGTGTCCCCTCTTTGGCGGGGGATCTAAGAGCTGCAGCGGCTGCAGATAGCTTCATAGTGCTGTGTCTTAACCCCTTGTGGCACCAGGGAGGCCCCCTGTTTGGCTTTTACAATTTTTTTTTTCACTCAAAGTCACTCCTTTGGCAGAAACTGTTTACAAGCAATTGTGGTGGGTGGAGGAGACAGAATGGAGAACAAGGTAGAGGTTGGCCTTTCTGCTCACAGTGGCTTTTGGTCCTTAGGCAATTTAGAAACAAAGCCTTAGTGTAATTAAAGCAAAGGCGGGGTAGCCTGTATCTTTGCTGGAAGGCACTTGCCTTTGTTATTAAATTAGGAAAATGAAAAGGTGTGCTACTGAATCCCAGGCTGCAGAAGAGAGCACAGCTAATCAAGGGAATGTCCTTGGGACAAGTCACTCTGCTGGTGTGTAGTCTCGTGGTGAGTTCAGGTTGCTGCGGAAGGCTTTTTTTTTTTTAATCTGCTCCCAATATCATTCCTGCCTGCTAAGTGAAACAGCAATTTCTCTTTGAAAATTCTATCTAAATGTAAGGAGGTAAGTTGTAGTGGTTAATTTTATGGTTTGTCTGGGTCACAATACCCAGATATTTGGCTAAACTTTATTCTGGGTGTTTTTTCTGAATGTCTTTTTGGGATGAGATGAGAATTTAAATCAGTGAACTTTGAGTAAAACAACTTTCTCTATAATGTGAGTGGACCTCATACAATCAGTTGAAGGCCTTAAAAGAACAAATACTGGCCTCCCTGAGCAAGAAGGAATTCTGTCAGCAGACAGATTGTGGACTCAAGCTGCAACTCTGAGCTGACTCATCAGCCTGCTAGCCCACCCGGTCAGATGTTGGACTCCCCAGTCCCTACAACGATGCAAGTGATTTCCTTAAAATCTCTCTTCATCCCCTTCTTTATACCCCCACCCCCAATATAGGTGCCAGGTTTATGCGCATAAAATCCCTTTCAAAGTATCACTGCAGTACATGTTTGCTATTGCATCATTTACAGCTCACCAAGGATAAGTTAATAGCCTCTCTGGTTGCTGTTTGGTTAGAGCCGAGAGCATACTTTTAGAGTGCTGAATGCCGTTAGAGCTCATTTGCTTTTGAGTCAGGGGTAGAGAATGAGTTCAGCACAGAGTTGGGGGCTGAAGATCAGCTCTGACTTTCTCGGTCTTCTGTCGCTATTTTGTCTTTGGAGGGAGAACCACTTCTGCTTCTGTTTACCTGTGGGTCCCAGATAATGCTTGCTGAGTGAGTTCTAGGGAACAGTAGGTCACAAGTCTAACCCTTTGTTCCTGTTCTGAGGGAAAAGCCTGGAAGTTAATTGAGTTATCGCTGAGGCTGAGTTCTAGACACTTCCCCTTGGCTATTGTATTTAGTCTTTTCAGCCACAAGGATAGTCTCACTGCTATGCTCAGGGACACTGAGCCCAGTTCTCTGGGCTTGAATTCTGGCTCAGAGGTTTTTTAGTTCTTTGACTTTGGACAAATGACAGGCCCTCTGTACTACTCCATTTCTTTATCTGTAAAATGGAGATAATAACAGACTCTCTGTCGATGTTTAAGAAGTAAGTCAGTCTAGGAAGACCTTACTATAGTGTCTGAATATGGTAAGAGCTATGCTTGGTAGGAGTGGGAACTGCCTTAGAAGACAGATTTTATTTCCTATATTTTCCAGATAAGGCTCCTGAGTCATGGCCCAAATTTACATTGTGTTACAAGCTGTGATTTGACTTAAGGTCAGCCTGACACAAATTCTGCTCAACCCAATATGTTGCCCTAAGAAAGAAATTTTGAACACCAGAAATATTATAGTCATTTCATTTAGCATCTCATGGCTTGATGCTTGATTTTGGATTAGCCTTTTTTTTTTTTTTAAATAATTTTGATAATATATCAGGAACAAAGGGTTAGACTTGTGACCTACTTCAAGTGTTAGCTAAGGGAGCTCCGGAAGCCCAATTTTCTTCTACTTTACCGTTCCACTTACTTAAAAGGTTGTGGTCAACCTAGCTTTCTTGGCGGCCAGACTAAGCTATGAGATATTTTCAAGTTGAACAAGTTACTGAAAAGCAGACTCAGATGTAATGCAATGGTGTAGATGTTGGTGAAGCTTTTTTAACAGTCATTTCTTGAATTTTTGTATGTGCCGGGCAATGATGCTGGATGCAATGGAAGACAAAGGAGTATAAGAAACAGTTTATGAAATTGAACTGTCTACAATCTAGCTCAGTGATTTTCTACTGGGAGTGATTTTACCCCCAGAGGACAGTTGATAATGCCCCGGAAACATTTTGGTTTTCACAACCCAGAAGGTAAGGGGTGTTAAAGGCTTGAGGGCAGCACTGCTGCTGATATCTAGTGCATAAAGGCTGAGAATGTTGCTAAACATCCTATAACACACAGGACAGATACTTTTTTTAAAAAAAAAATTATTAATTTAATTTTTTTTACTTTTTTACATCATTGTTCATTTTTAAACAATATTTGCTTCCCCCTACCCCATCAGGTACAGTCCCCAGAGTTTCCTTCACCAATGCACCCGTGCACCATCACCTCAGTCCCCTGTGCTCCTCCCTCCCTCCCTCTCACCCCTCTCCCTCCTCCTCCCCTGCAGCATGTCTCTGATTTATAATTGGCCATTTTTTGCTTTGTTGTGTTTTGTACTGTTATTTTTTTTTTTTTTACACTGATGTCTTATTTGGCTTCCCTATATTCCTGCTATAAGTGAAACCATCTGATATTTTTCTTTTTCCTTCTGGCTTATTTCACTGAGCATAATTCCTTCTAGTTCCATCCATGTTGCTGCGAACGGCATGTGTTTATCTTTTTTGACTGGCTAAGTAATGTGCCATTGTGTACATGTGCCACACCTTCTTGATCCAGTCATCTATTTTTTTTAATAAATTTAATTTTTATATTCCCCATACAATTGCAACCCCCTTATTTTGACCCCAATCCCTCCCCTCGCCTCTCCCCACCCCCCATAGAGTGTCTCTGGTTCATATTTTTTTGTTGATTTTGATTTTGATTTTCTTATAGTTATTCATTTTCCTGGTCCCTTATTTAAGTTTTCTAGATTCCTGCTATGAGTGAGACCATCCGGTATTTTTCTTTTTCTTTCTGGCTTATTTCGCTGAGCATGATCCCTTCCAGCACCATCCATGTTGCTGCAAATAGCATGTGTTTATCTTTTTTGAATGCTGAGTAATATTCCATGGTATATATGGACCACATCTTCTTGATCCAGTCATCCATTTTTGGGCATTTGGGTTGTTTCCAAAGCTCAGCTATTGTAAATAGTGCTGCTATAAACATAGGGGTGCAGGTGCTCTTTGGAAGTGATGTTTCTGTGTCCTTTGGGTAGATACCTAGGAGTGGAATTGCTGGATCATATGGAAGCTCTATGTTTAGTAGGTCCAGAAATCTCCACACAGCTCTCCATAGTGGTTGGACCAGTTTGCACTCCCACCAACAGCGCAGGAGAGTTCCTTTTTCTCCACACCCTCGCCAACATTTGTTGTTGCTAGTTTTTTTTAATATGTGCCATTCTCACTGGTGTAAGATGGTATCTCATGGTAGTTTTGATTTGCATTTCCCTGATTACAAGTGATGTTGAACATTTTTTCATATGCCTGTTGGCCATTTGCATTTCTTCTTCAGAGAAGTTTCTTTTTAGCTCTTCTGCCCATTTTTTGATGATCTAGTCATCTATTTGTGGGCATTTGGGTTGTTTCCAGGTTTTAACTATCGTGAATAGTGCTGCAATAAACATAGGTGTACAGGTGTTCTTTTGAATCAATGTTTTTGTGTCCTTTGGGTAGATCCCTAGTGGAATTGCTGGGTCATATGGTAGCTCCATTTTTAGTAGACTGAGGAACCTCCAGACAGCTTTCCATAGTGGTTGGACCAGTTTGCACTCCCACCAGCAATGTAAGAGAGTTCCTTTTTTCACCACATCCTTGCCAACATTTGTTGTTTCTTGTTTTTTTGGTATGTGCTATTCTTACTGGTGTAAAATGGTTTCTCAATGTGGTTCCTACCAAAAGCAATATACTATTCAATGCTATTCCAATAAAAATCTCAATGACATTCTTCAAAGAAATAGAACAAATACTGAAGAAATTCATATGGAGCTACAAAAAACCTCAAATAGCCAAAGCCCTACTGATGAAAACAAAGGAGAAAGGAGGTGCCATACTTCCAAACTTCAAGCTATACTGCAAAACCATAATAACTAGGAAAAAATACAGACACACAGACCAATGGAAATGAATAGAGAGCCCAGAAATAAAACCACACTTATATGGACAACTGATCTTTGACAAAGGAGCAAAGAATATGCAATAGAATATGGACAGTTTGTTCAATAAATGGTGCTTGGAAAACTGGACCATCACATGCAAAAAAATAAAACTAGATCACTACCTTTCATAGCGCACAAAAATCGACTCAAAATGGATAAAAGAACTGGACATAAGACCTGAAACCATAAAATATATAGAAGAAAACATAGGTAAAACACTGCAAGACATACATCAGAATAACATCTTTAAAGACTCATCACCCAAAGCAAAGAAAGTCAAGGAAAAGATAAACACCTGGAATTACATCAAACTGAAAAGCTTCTGCAGAGCAAAAGAGACATTAACCAAAACAGAGAGACATCCCGCTGATGGGGGGGGGGGATTCTTTGCACTCCAGTCAACTGATTAGGGACTGATCACAAAGATATACAAAGAATGCACACAACTCAACAAAAACAAAATAAACAATCCATTCAAGAAATGGGCAGAAAAACTTAAAAGACATTTCTCCAAAGAGGAAATGCAAATGGCCGACAGGCATATGAAAAAATGTTCAACATCCCTTATAATCAGGGAAATGCAAATTAAAACCAGGACAGATACTTGACCCCTATTTCCCGACAAAGAATTATCCAACCTGAAATATCCATAGTGGTGAGACTGAGAAAAACTAGAGAAGTGAAACATGAAGAAATTTAAATGGCCATGTAAGGTAGACACTAACTTTGCTACCTTGCACTGATTATTAAGAGCCATGGGGCTGGACGGATCACATGAGCTTTAGGAGCCTAAAGGAAAATTAGATGGAAATGAATTGCCATGGAAGCCTTTACTGGCCTGGGACAGAAACTCTGTAAGGTGTCTTTGAGGGCAGAATGAGTAGAAGAAACTGGTGAACAGTAAGAGTTGAGTGGGGTTAACCAGATTATGTAAGATCTTCAAAATAAGGGAAGATAATCTTGATGCCTTATGTAGTGGAAAGTCTTTTTAGATGCTAACAACAAAGAGTAGTTTGTCAAGATGGACATTTAGTGAAATGGGTACATAGAATGATTGAGGAAGATGATGCTCAGTGGTTGCCTGGGGAAAAAGAGCAGAGACTCTGGGGTCAGAGTGACTCTCCACTCACCTGCCCTTTGAAGCTTGGTGAGTTCAGATTCATCATTTGTAAAGTGGCATTTACTTCATTAGGGTTGTTGAGGATTAAAAAAATTAATACAGAAATGCAGTTATGGG